CACCAATTTACTTGGTTCCTTCTTGGCTTAGAGTGGCACGTAGACATCTGTGTATTGACTCATTCTGTCACCACTCAAAGAAGGTTCTAGAAACATGCACTTGCTATGAAAACCATTTAAACTGACTTCCAGTATCTGTTCTCATCCTGTCCTGCCAGGTAGTCATTCTCACTGTTGTTTCAGCAGTACACAGTGGCAAGTGCCTTCTTCATCCAATTTTAAACTAAATATTTTAACACTGAGTCTAGTAAAATCTAGTAAAAATGAATCTTGAAAATATGGTTTGAAAACATGAATGAACTATCCGCTCACTAACATTTAATCAGGATAACAGTCTAGCATGGAAAACTCAAGACCTGTCTTCCTTCATCAGCATACCCTTACCTCTGAGGCTACAGGAGAACAGGAACAGGGAGCCCACACACAGAGGTGTGAAGTGACCTGGTTTCAAGATACTCAGCCAGCCAGAGGCCACGTTGAAGGACAGGCACTGATAATGCCAACAACAATGGAGACCCTTTATGCAGCGGTTACCACATGTCCAAGACTGTGTGGGTGCCAGTCTAATATTTTGATTTTGTCATTCCTTTCATTTCCATTTGACAAATAAGTAAATTAAGACACAGAGAGGAGAGTCAATTCACTCTCAAGTAAATTGAGACACAGAGAGGTGAGTCAATTCACTCCAAGGCCTCTGCATTAGTCAGCTCAGGCCGCCACACAAAAAAACATAGACTGGGTGGCTTAACAGACATTTAATTCTCACCATTCTGGAAGCTGGAAGTCAGAAGTCTGAAATCAGGATCAGGTTCTAGTGAGGGCTCTCTTCGTGGCTTGCAGACGGCCACCTTCTTGCTGTGTCATCAATGAGATCTCTCTCTCTCTCTCTCTCTCTCTCTCTCTTCCTCTTCTTAAAAGGTCACAGTCCTATCAAATTAGGGCCCCACCCTTATGACCTTATTTAGCTGTAATTACTTCCTAAAGACCCTATCTCCAGATACAGTCACACTGAGGACTTGGGCTTCAACATATGAATGGGTCCATAGCAACCTCATAGCCAGCAGGAGGCAGAGCTGGGATTAGAAGCCAGGAGGTCAGACCCCAGAGCCAGAGTGTTGAAACACTCGCCCCCTCCTTCCCCCCACCCTCCGCTCCTCTCCCACTTCCCATTCTACCAGGGCTCCTAAAAATATACCCCCATCACTCTCTGGGGTGTGATTTTTCTTTCACTTTCTCCTTTGCCTTAGTTGCCTCAAGCCCAAGACAGCAAAACAGCTCTGCTTTATAACAGGTGAAAATGTTGCTTTTGACAACTCAACTTACATCATCGCAGGCTTGGGAGCACAAATCATTCATTCTCTAGAGGCAAAATTGTCGTGAAAACTAATCAATGCTGGGCCTTCACCTGTGCCAATTATAGAGCATGTCAGCAAAAAAGAATAATGAGGAGGTGTATAGTCAGGATTTCCAAGGCTGCGATAACTCACCCTCCACACAATAAGATGAAAAGCTGACATATGATTACTAGAAAGTGGTGGTGTCCTTATGAACCCAACGAGCAATTCCACAGTGTGCACTCTTCCAGTGGGGGCGAGAGAGGCAGCCAAAGGGAAGCCCAGCAGGGGTGGGGTGTGGTGGGCTCAGCAGGGGAGGGTCAGAGCCTCATCCCAGCAGCTGTGGGAGAGGGGTCACGAGTGTGGACCACGAAGCCAGACAGCCTGGGCTCAAGTCTCATCCCCTCCACTTACTAGTTATGGTACTCGGTTGCCCCATCTGGAACATGGGGATAATAATAGTAGAATAATGGTAGGAAATGAATGAGGCTTTAGGAGAGTTAGAGAAGTTAAATATGACCAGTGCCGATTATAACCCTGAAAGACACAATCCCAAATGCCATAATACTGAATGCTGAAATCCCGAAAGATCAAAATCCCTAAGGTCTAAAATCTGAAAAACACAATCCCTGAAAGATTAAAATCCCAAATGTTGAACACAACAGTGCTGCTGTTCGATCACCAGTACAGTTACCACTAAATCTGTGGTCTTCAACTTGTGCTTGTGGAATGGATTTCTTTTGTGGGCTTTTGGGGGTTTTGTTTTTTTCTCCACTATTTTTTTTTTTTTTTTTTTGGCTAGCTGGCACAGAGATCCAAACCCATTACCTTGGTGTTATAAGGCTGCTCTCTAACCAACTGAGCTAAACAGCCAACTCTCTTTCCCCACTATTTTAAATCATCAGCATTATTTTTTTACGACTTGCTATGCTATGTATTTTATCTTTACATTATTTCCAATACCGGAGGTATAAATTGTGTAAAGACTTCTAGAAAGTTTTAATTTATTTTATGCATTTTTTGCAAATTTAACTCCACGAAAGTACATTAACACTATTTTGATTTTGTGTGTTGGCACTGAGGGTGCATGTAAAAACATCGAAACTTCCCCAATAAGTGAAGAGATGTCCTTTTTGTACATCTGCTTTTGCGAAAGATAAAATTTCTCAAGATCTCAGCTCTCTGGGTGACTGTATGTGTGGTGGTGACCCCTCATGGTTTTGGGTCAATCCCATCAAAAGACTTAGGTTGTCCATTGCAGTATTTCAGATGACCATAGTTATAAAGCTGGGCGCACACAATTACCAACCGTTGTATATGCGTTTATACAGTTTGTTTTTTGACCTATTTTCTATGAATACCGTTTGTCTGCTCATAACTGTGATACCTGTGCAACTATTGTTAGTATATAGTGTCTGTGCTTGCAAAACTGCGTATATTATTGCCTATTTTATCATGTAAGGTAGCCTGTGATGTGTTTTTGTGTTTTTCAAATAAATCCCCTTTTAAAAATGTAAATAAATGTCTTTTAAAGAATATTTTAAAATATTTTTTTCAGAATTACATTTTCAGGATTTTGATCTTTTGGGATTGTGATTTTCAGGATTTTAGACTTCAGGAATTTTGATCTTTCAGGATTTCAACATTATGGCATTCGAGATTGTGTCTTTTGGGATTATGGTCCAAAACTCTATCTATTTATTATCAATCAATCAATCAATCATCTATTTATTTATCTCGTCTATCTATCATCTCTATATATCTATCTAATCTATCATTTATCTATCATCTCTGTATCTATCACCAACTTTCTGTCATCCATTATACACATACAAATATATGTATACATACACACACATATATAACCTCTTACAATAAACACTATTTTCATTTACAGAACATATACTTTTCATATTTTTCTTCCCAACTAATTCTCAAAATATTCCTAGCATAAACAGGGTGCTATCATGTCCATTAACAAGTGAGGAAATTGAGGCCCAGACAGTTTGAGAGGGTGACCTCAAAAGCAGTAGGTTCACTCTTTTCACACTTACAAGGGGAATTCACTGTCACTAGAGGCCAACATTTGCAGAGAATTTTCTTTTTTACCCAGCACTTTCATGTAATCAAAGGGTGTCTGTCACCAATCTGTTGGTGTCTTAGAGACCATGAACAGAGCATCAGAACACGGCGCCTAAGAAGAGGCTGCTCAGACGTAGTCCCTCCCCTTTCACACACATCACACAAGCTCACTTACGCATCCAATCCCCTGGATCCACTCTAAGGAGTCTCCCTGAAAAGTTTTAGGCTCAGATGTAGTGAGCAGGACTGAAGCCATGTTGGGACCTAAAACCACCTGGACTGCAGTGTGTGTGTGTGTTGGGGGGGGGAGTGTTAAAAAGGAGATTTTATTTCCTCTTCACTCTTTCTTGCTTGCTAAATAGGAAAACAAGGCTGAGAAGCTAATCAGTACTTTGCAAAGCTAACAGTTCTTTCTTTGAGACATAAGAGTTTTGAGAAGTGATAGAGGCCAAATGAATGAAGCTGACCTTGGGCACCAGCCAAGTCAACCAGAGCTCAGTGAAGCGAAACTATGCAAAAGACTTTGCAGAACAGTTGATTCTACTTTGGAGCAAATCAAAATCTTGCAGCGTCCTGAGATAACAGCAAAAATGAGAACAAAAAGCAGGGGAGGCCTTGGTGACACCTGTACCTGACACATAGACACAGACCCCTCACAGCTCACGTCTCCTGCTCTCCTGCTTTTCACCTTCCACATTCTATTCCCTCAACCCCTCTTTAAAAACCCCTCAGTAAACCTGAGTCATTGAGATGCTTGAGCCTGGCATCCTCCTTCAGGTTTACCGGAGAGATGGGTCAGCCCAGCATCTCTCTTCAGGTCACCGGTGTTCCTGAGTAAATGCTGACTTCCGTTTTCACCAACATTTGGCTTTTGATTAGTTTGCTTTTGCCTGGGGACAGGCAGCCAGACCTGTGAGTTTGATATCACTTTTGGGGAGCCTCAGCCAGGAGCTGAGTGTACCCTGTAACAGAGATACTTGTCTCAGTAGTATACACATTGGCAAAATAATTATAAACAGTCCTAAGTAATCTATACGGTAGGATAAAGATGAGATGGTTTATTGTACGTCTCCACAGTGGAACGTTATGTAGCCATTCAAAATGATTTACAAAGCGTTTGCAATGACAGAGAGATAGTGCTGCTACCAGACTTTAACCAATTTTAAAAAGCAGAATACAAAATTGCCTTGTATGTTTTTCATATTGATGAAATGTACAGTCATACATCATTGATATAAAAAATACAGAAAAGGAGTACAAAAAGAATTACATGCCAAATGCAATCTGGGCATGATGGGATGCTGGGTGATTGTTGCTTTCTTATGTATTTTATTTTCAGTGTTTTGCAATGAATGTGTGCTGCTTTTCTGATCAGAAATTTACTTTTTAAAAATTTCCTTGTACAGCAATCGAAACGCAAAGGGGTTTATTTCCCCCAAACAAAAGAACTTTGAGTTGTCACTCAGACTCTGGGGTACAAATCTAGTCTGTTTTTCCCTCATGGAAATGCCCGATCAGAGGCCTCTGCCACGCATACCCTGATCTTCTCAAACAGGACCCTCTGTATTCCTCCTCGTTCTCCGGTCACCCCATGCCGAACGAAGTTCTTCCGAGTGTGGATAGCATCAAAATCACTGGTGGCAAAGCTGTACTTCCCCATCCAGGGCTGCCTTTGCTCTCAAGATCAATGAGCCAACTGAACAAAAGTCAGAATTTGTTTGCTAAAGTAGCCTGTCCTCTCCCCTTTAACAAAATCCAGCTTAGGAAACATGTGCTGTGTGCCTCCATCATGTCTGATACTGTGTTAAGACTCACAGAAACACAGCACTGAGAAACAGCCCTTGCTTTCAAGGAGCAAGCAATTTCTTTTTGAGAGCAGATAAGAGAACTAATAATTTGGGTTCACTGTGGAAAAGGCTGTGTTGGGTCCAGCACAGGGTAAGGCAGAGATTGTGAGGGGTGCTCATCCGGCCTGTGGGTCAGCAAGGGCTCTTGGCCTAAGGGCTTTCTAAGCTGGCAACCAGGAATGCACAGGAGTTGGTTAGGGGACCCGGGAGGAGAAGGGAACGTGAGTGTTTTAGGAAGAGGAGATGTCATGTGCAAAGGCACAGTGGCAGGGAACCACCAGCAGGGTGATGTTTCCAGGATGCAAATTTAAAGTGGAGGTAATAGCCAGGGATGGGAAGGAGAGAAAGTTGTGGAACATGGATTACGGCAGGCCTGTGGCCCAGAACTTGGAATTTTCCAGTCTGTGCTGGGCAGCCACCTGGAGTGGAGGAAAACACCAGGTCCTAGTGGCCCTTCTTGCCATTGACACCATTGACATTATGGGTGTCAGTTTCTAAAAGTTGAGCTCCTCTTAGTAGACTCTGGGGCATTCTTTTATCACATTCCGCATATTTTCTCAAATATACAAAACCTCTTCTAACTCCACCTTCAACTCTGATTCATCAGGTAAGAGAACGGAACTAAAATGAAACATGCTTGATGATTTCATCGGTAAGTGTACTCTGCAAAATATTTAAGAACATTTCATTCCTTCCCCTTTACAATGCAAAAGACTCCTCCCAGCTGAGCCAGGTTTGCGTGTGCTCTGCACTGGAGAACTCACCACAGATTGACCAGGAAAGGGTGCTCCAGTCCCTGCATGATCTGCAGCTCCCGGAAGACGTTCCGAACCTCATCCCTCTCGATGCACTTCTGCTTGTTCATGTACTTCATCGCGTACATTTTCTTGGTGTCTCGCTTCTGCACGATGCATACCTGAGTGACAGCCACAGGGGAGAGCATTCAGGCCAACAATTCAAAAAGAGGAAGAAGATGAAGAAAAGGCAGCCCCCTTCCTGCATTTCTACTCCTGGATTCCAGTCTCTGTGCTGGAAACCTTCTAGCGGAGCAGCTCTGGCTGAGCCACCACCTCTCTGCACCTGCAAAACAAAGGTGTTGGACCACATTCATGACCTGTTCATCCAATATTCACACTAAGCACTGGCCACGTACTAAATGCCAGGAGAGGAGCTGCTGACAGAGGAGAAGGAAGGAGCAGCCCAACGACAATTCTGAGACACGTGGTGGGCACGAGTGTTGCAGACCCCGTCTGTGCCCACTTGACCCTGCCCCTCCCCACTTCAGCACACACCTACCTGACTTCCACCCTCCAGCCCTGCATTTCTTTGCCTGAGGACTCTCTCTTGCTGGTACAGCCCACTTAGCTGCCCATACAAAAGACCAGCACAGCCAGGGAATTAATAACTGGTGGTGATTGGGACACCAGTACCCCAGTTCCCTTGCCCGTTGGGTGGGATAAGTCTGAGGTTCCAGGAGTTTGTGAATTTGCCCAGCACCTCTCCCCTAGGGGCAACACACCTGACATACCCCCTTTCCAGGCTGTCTTCCTTCCTTTCCTTCCCTGACCCACTTTCCATCTAACTCACTTGTGTTTTCTTTACCTCTCCCATGTCCTGCACTCAAGTTCCAACCTCGGAGCCTGCTTCTGGGGAAATGCAAACGAAGGCACATGGGCTCTGGCGGAGTGAGGAGAACTTGGGGCAGCAACGATGAAGGCCCCCACGTATTGAGCGCTTTACTGCAGACCACACTCTGAGCAAACATCTCCTTGATTATCCCACTTAATCCCCTTGAGAAGCTCGTGGATAAAGCCCATCCTCCCTCCAGCACAAAGAAGCCATTACCCTGAGTATACTGATGAACTTGCCCAGAGTTCAACAAGCCACTAAATGGCAGCGTAGAGATTCAAACCCATGGCATCTAACTTGTGAGTTGAGTGACACCCTTACCTGGGGGCAGCCATGGGTGCTGGGGAGGACGGGCGGTCAGAGAAAGCTCTCTGCAGGAATCAATGCCAGATGGAGAGGGGCACAGGATGGAAAGAGGGCAGGGGTGAGGGAAGAGGCTCCCAGAGAAGGGAACGTCATAAAGGAGGGCGTGCAGCCAGGCACAGCGCAAGCAGTCAGGCAGGGCTGCAGAGAGTTAGTGGCTAACGTGTACCACGTAACGCGAGCGGTTCCCACGGACAGCAGTAACCTTCCCGACAGCCCGAGGACATGTGGTATCAACTTCCTCAGGCTGCCATGGCAAAGCATCGCAGACCGGGGCTGACACAGCAGAAGTTAATAAACTCGCACGGTTCTAGAGGCTGGAAGTTTAAAATCAAGGCGTTGCAGGGCCAGGCTCCCTCTGAAGGCTCACGGGGAGGATCCTCCCTGCCTCCTAGTTCCTGGTGGTCGCCCGCAACCCCTGGTTCTCCTCGGCTTCAATCTCTGCCCCTGCAGTCGCATGGCCTCCTCGCATTTCTGCGCCTCTGTCTCCAAATTTTCATCCTCTTATAAGGACATAAGGACACTAGTCACAGTGGATTTAGGGCCAACCCTAATCCAGGATGATCACGTCTTAACTAATTACATCTGCAAAGACCCTATTTTCAAATAAGGTCTTTCTGAGGCTCCAGGAAGACATGAATCTGGGGTGGCACACGATATAACCCAGAACATCTACTATTCCTATCCCCACTTTGCAGATAAAGGAAAGTGAGGCCCAGAAAAGATTCAATCCTTTCTCAAGACTCGAGACTCACGTCCAAGCTCTCTGCCTCCCCACCTGTCACTCTTCACCAATGATGTCTAAGAAAAGGGACACAGGGGAAGATGCCTGCACAGATGGTGGGCCTGGGTGCCCAGCTAAGGAGCTCTGGGATTCTCCTGGCATCACAGGTCGCTCTTCTGTTGGAGGATGGACCCCTTTCAGCTCCGACATGCTGTGGATCTGTTACTGGGCCCAACACCGGCCACCTGCCCCCAACAAAAACCCTGGCTTGGCTTACCAAAATCTGATATTGGGGGGCACTCAGCCCCTGGCTGAGACTTGCTAAAATCTTGTTAGTGAACCCAAATCCAGCTGCCTGCCCTCAGACAAAACAAACAACCCAAAAATCAAACGTTGGTGATGATGGAAGTCAGCTTTATTCAGGGATACCAGTGATCTGAGGAGACATGTTGGGCTCACCCACCTCCCCATGGTCAACCCGAAGGAGGATGCCAGGCTAAAGCATCTCAAAGACTCGGTTTTACTGAGGGGTTTTAAAGAGGGGGCTGAGGGAATGGAATGTGGGAAATGAAAAGCAGGAGGGAGGGGGACGTGAGCTGCAGGGGCTCGTGCAAGGAGCCAGGTGCAAGGTCTCGCCAAGGCTCCCTCTGGTTACTGCTCTGTCCCTGCTGTTATCTCAGGGTCCTGCTGGAGGGTGGAGTCAGCACAGCTTCACTGATGTCCTCCTTGATTTCTGAGGATCTGGATAGTATGTGTCTCCTGGCAAGTCTGCAGCTCCAGGCTGACTGGAAAAAAACTTTACATTTATGTAAATAATGTCATCTTGTTCCATATCCAAGGTTCAAAATATCAAATAACCATGGGAAAGGAGGGAACTGAAAAAAACTAAGAAAAAAAACTGTACCTTTTAAAATCTTTTAGAGCCCATGCAGGTTTGGGCCCCAACATGGCTTCAGTCCTGCTCACTCCAACAAATCTATTCGAGGCAGATGCAGGACAGAGGGGGAGAATTCTGAATTCCAACTCCAGCTTTGGTTCCTGTTGCCTCTCTGAGTCTGTCTCAGCATTTGTCTGAGCTGGGTTAGCAAAACCCACCTGCACCACTGGAGTGAAACTAAATGAGGTCAAGGAAGTGGGAATCCCCAGCAGTACCAGGGGGATAATAAATATTACCTGAATTTCAATGTATTAAATAGCACACTTCATGAAATCTCCAGAAAAATGTTTTTCCAGGCAGTATGATTAGTGGCATGAGGTTGAAGGCCCATGGAACTTCCTTTTCCAGTGAACTTGAAAATATAAAATGCAAGGAGGCAAGGGAGCAGGGTGCAAAGGCATCTGGGTCTGCGGGAATCCAAGCAAAGACATCTGCAGCCCCGGGCACAGGCCCTGAGATACACGTCTGAAGGGAGATGGGCAGTGGGTAGATAATGCCACTAATTAGAAGTTCTCATCTCTCTCACTTCTCATCAGACTTCTCAGAAGAGACGCTCAGCAGACATGGCCTCTGTGGGGCTGGGCCCCTGTGTCCTGCTGACTACATCATCTTGAAAAGCTGGGCCAGGATTGGAGTCTGTGCAGTGTCCTTGTGCCGAGTCTGTGCAGATAGGACATGCTTCACTCCCATCAACTTCCATGGGCGAGGTGCCTCTTGCCTCCCAGGGATGGGGAGAGGGGCACGCACTCACCTTGGCTCAGAGACAGTTTAGGAGTCGGAAGAGTCTCCAAAATTAAATTAGAATTCTGGATTTCAAAGGACAGTTAATGATTTCAATAGAGTTCGGAAGTTTGACTTTCGATACAAGAAAAAGAATGCATTTGGCACAGGATGTTGGATGTAGCTTGGAAGTTTGAGTTTACAAGTAAAAGAAGAGAGGCCAAGCGATAGGGGTCTTGGCCAGCTCTGGGCTGAGCACTGGGTATGGCTGGAATCCTTTAATCATCTGGGCCCCCACTACCTCCTAAGTAAATTGAGGTCTTGGTGCTGATACTCTCTCTAAGGCATCTTAGAAGCACTCTGTGTTTCCTGGGAACACAGAGCAGACTGTGAGTAGGGCTGTGAACAAATCCCTGGCCCCGCTGGTCTTGCTTCCTCACTGGTCAGGCAGTGCTGGTAGCAACAGCTGAATCGACCTGACCGGGAGATAGGCTAAAATGGGGGAAAAACAGCTAAGACGAGGCTAATGCACTGAGTGGAGGTAAGATTCTGCCAGAAAGTCATAGAGACACAGAGAGTTTGAGCTCTGGTGCCACTCTGACCAGGGCTTAAATTCCAGCTCTTTCCTGTGTGGCCATGGGCAAGTCACCCTGCCTCTCTGGGCCTCAGTCTGCTTATCACACTCCTGCTGTTCACCATGCGAGAGCTCAGCGAGAAGTCGGCAGTCTGCTACCTGCAATGGGGCCCTCGCCAGAACCTGTCCACGCTGGCACCCTGATCTTGGAGCTCCCAGCTTCCAGAACTACAATAAATAGACGTTTGTGGTTTAAGCCACCTAGTCTGTGGCATTTTTGTCACAGCAGCCCGAAGAGACTAAGAAATGCCCTTATTTAAATAAAGGCCTTTGCAGATGTAATTAAGGATCTCAGGACGAGATCATCCTGGATTAGGGTGGGCCCTAAATCCAACGACAAGTGACCTTATAAGACAAGATGAGAAGACATGTACAGAAGGAAGGACATGTGAGAACTGAAGCAGAGACTGGAGGGAAGTGTCTACAAGCCAAGTAACGCCAAGGGTTGCCAGCAGTGCAAGGCAGGGGACCGATTCACCCCCCAGAGCCTCTAGAAGGAACCAACCCCACCTGTACCTTGATTTTGGACTTCCGGCCTCCAAAACTGTAAGATAATAGATGTCTGCTTTGTTAAGTCATCCAGTTCATAATAATCTGTTATAGCAGCCCCAGGAAACTAACGCATTCTGTCAATGTCCACTGCTGCCACCCACCTGTGGCTGAACAACTCGGCTGAGCACCCTGTGATCCTTGCTCTCCTCCACTGTAAAATGGGTCCATAGAATGGACCCTCCCAGGTCTACAGTCAGGTCTCCGTGGGTCAAGGGGAAAAGCCCAGCAGAGTGTATGGGCCACACAGGGGATCAGCAAACAGGGTTGGTGTAGTGATGGGCACATTGATGCCGGGAATCCTACCCCTGAGCCCCTGGTGTAGCATCCTCTCCACATGAGTCCCTGTAACTAGAGCAA